ATCAGAGCGGTGGCGCACCAGTGTCATGCTTGGCACGCCACCGTGACGTGCGGGCGCACGTGGCCGGGTCGCCTCATCGCTCCTCTGCCTCAACCACCATCGCATCACAAACTCTGGTGAGCTACTGGTGCTCATCCGTCACCACCACCACCTCGGTAGAGCCTTAGGTCGCCGAAACGAGCACGCCGTGGCACAGCTCCGCCTGTCGCCGGGGCTAGCCCTCGGTAGTGTGCCATTAAGCTCCTCACCGCTACCTAGGAGTGCGCGCTTAGCGGTAGGCAAAGGTTGGCTCCTTACCCCGTGGTAGCGATCTCGAGGTGCCCAGCGCAGCCGCCCATGCCGCTGGTCACCATGCCTGCAAACGTAGGGTAGAGCAGGGACCTCCCCGTTGTGAAGGCGGAAACATCCGGGGTCCTTAATGCAAAGCTTGTCTCTGGTGTAATAGTGCTCAGTGACGCCGCGTGATAAACTGTTATGCTGAGGGTTTTTCTGCAAAAGGTGCGGAAAGCGCTGCTGCTGCTCTCCCTGTGTCCGCTTGTTGGGCCGCTTGCTGGGCTGCCTCCTCCCGCGTGCCATTTAGGTTCTTTGGGCGAATCGTTTGGCCACCGGCCCTTTTCATTTTTTCGAGCATTTTCTAATTTAGTTCTAAGAGAAACTTATAAATTCAATATCAATTTGTGTAGCTAACCAAAAATTGTGAAACCAATTTTGTTAGGTTCCTAAAATCATGATCTATCTGGTAGTATATTTTGTTCACATAGTTTTATAATATTCTTAGGAGCTATATAATTAATTTGAGGTACTTAATAGTGTCAAAACATGAATTTGTAGGAATTATTGTGATGAATTGGTAGTAGTACTGGCCCTAAAATTTTTACAGTAGATTTCTAACATTATTAGGTGCTCACTGTAATTTTTGTAGCTCCATAGGAATTAGTTTGTTAAGATAACTAAATGAGCCCTAGTACAAAAATATATATTTAATCAATCAAATGTCAAAAATTAGTTGGGAGTTTGTAGAACGGAAACATTTTTTGGAAACGAGCCTCACTTGACCACGTAGATACATGGCTTAGTATGTTAGTCATTAAAGCTAGCTCGTTAGTTTGCGAGACGTAATCGTATTTTAGAGTTACGGATGCCGTTGATTATTTACGTCCCTGCGTTATATCCACGTATTTCATGATAGGAGAGAAGTTGGATCGCGGAGTCATCAAGAGTAACGAAAGCATATGGTGACTTGATGATCTTGCCACCAAGATGAAATCTACGTTGGTTATATCTTACCCAAGCAAGCCCCAGTATAACCCTTATTATTCTGCACTTTATTTTATGCTTGTGCATTAAGTTTAAGAAGTTGAATGAAACCCACTTACATATATATGTTCTTATCCTATGAGTCTTACTAGTATGACAGAATTGTATAGATTGCTATGCTATAGGACTCTGGTAGAAGTCGAATGATTACCTGCTACTCGTGAGAGATAGGAAAGATATTATTATTGTTATTATATTACTATCACATGGAATATATATGAATGATAATTGGAGACTGGACGGAATGGTACTTTAGATCTGGACTTGGTTTGGCATTCGGGCGAGGCTCGGATTGCACTTGTTCCGCTTGTGTCGGTTAAGGACCGGTCGTTGCATTAGATTCTAGTCAGGTCACAGACTTATTATCCTGAGCACATACTTATTTATGGGAGCAGAGAAGGCTCGTTGCCCTCTTGTCGTGGGTTCCGGCTCTTTTGGACCGACTAATTGGAGGCGGGAATGGTGGAGGTCTAAGCGCCACACTGAGTCTGGGACTCAGAAGTGGGGGCTTAGAGTCCAAGTTTGGATGGGGACCTAGACCCCTTGACAGGAGAGTGGTGGGTTGGTCTTGCTTGTGCCGGAGGTACAAGCGGGACGTGTGTTTCAGGGTACCCAACTGGGATACATTGGTTCGCGAATCATCGGGTAATCCAGTACAACTTATCTACAATCTGGCACCGTAGTAAGAACTGAAAGATAAAATATGGTAAAATAGTCCTGATTGCTTACCACCTGCTTAAAAGTAGCACATGTGCTTACATAGAATAGTTAGTTAATGAAGTAATAATGATTGCTAATAAAATTGAATATATGGACACATGTTTAGTAATGCTCCTGCAGATGTAATAAATCCACAAGCCAGATAGCCTGGCATACCCTTGTAGTCTTTTCTTTCCTCCTGACGGGTAAGTCTTGCGGAGTACAATTGAGTACTCAGGGTTTGTTCTACCCTGTTGCAGGTGACAGAAACATGTGGAGCTGACACTTGTGTGTGGAAACCTCCTTATGGACTCAGCGAGGATTTCCTTTACGTTGCGGACATAGAGTTTATTTGAAACTTTCAACCAAAATGTTTTACAATGAAAAAACTTATAACTTATTACGATGTATATAACGGACCATCATTTTAATGTTTAACTTGTCAGTAAATGATTTTGTTTCCGCTGAGACTCTGATAACATGGTTATATTCTGCTGTTATAAACAATAAATATTACTCTGATGTTGCATAGAAGATTATGTAAGAAATGACTTAAGAATGTTATAAGCTTTATTCTCTCATTTGTGGTCCTGATTGAAAAATATAGATTTTTGGGTTCTTCCTTGGGGTGTGCTCGACGGAACCGCGTAATTTAGTGTCCTCCCTTGATACTTAGTGTCTAATGGAATATAAGTATTCATGGGAGACATTAGATTATGCGGTTCTGCCACAGAGCTCCATCAGCACCAGTGGCAGTGCGCGAGTACCACCATCGTCAACACCACTAACACAGGCCTTGGCTCAGTCGGGCAGGCGGCGCACACGATGGGTAGGAGCAGGCTTCACGTGCAACGGGAGGGAGGGATCGAGGCGGAGTTTGGTGGCAGCAGCGAGCACGGAGTGGGGCGGGGGCGCCCGGCGCGTGACGCGGATTTAGGCGCGTGGTGAACGGCGCAGGTGAGCGGCACCCGTGGCGTATTATTTGGGTAGTTTGTTTTGCTGAAATTTGACTTATACTAAAAAAGTAAGTAGTGTCGCACAATAGGATGATCATCAGACCAAAATACTCCAGCGGTCCCGCCGCTTGACTTTCTCGCATGATACAGTATTGTGTATGCTGGTGGACGAGTAGCCGCCCATGAGTTGGCCACTGTCGTAGTCGAATCCAAGAACTAGGGATGAAAACGGTCGAGAACGGTCGGGAAAATGTCTTAACCATTCCCGCTCCTGTATTTTTTTGCCGGAAATGGAAATGAGAATGGGAAGGCCGGACGGGAAAACGAAACCGGTATTACGGGATATTGGGAACGGAATATTTCAAACGGGAACGTGTCGATTACGATCGGAAAGCGGTAACATAAAACGGGAACCGCCGCTAGCCCCTTCCTTGCCCATGGCCGGCCGGGCGTGGCAAGAGCGCCGCAAACGCTTCGGCGCTTAGCAATGCTTAGGCTAAAAGGGGCAAGGCGATCTCGCTCTCTCGCAGAGAGGCGGAGGCGGCGCCCGCAGACGGATTTGGAGTCGCCGAGTCGGGGACTCGGGGATAGCGGATAGGTTTTGGCCGCCGTTTTTGGGACGGATGGGAGGGAGTAGCGGACGGGAGTAAAATTTGGGCCTGTGGCGCGGGGGAGCGGGAGGTTTCGTGGGCTGCATCACTAAGTGGGCTGAATATAAGGTTTAGGTGTACAAAATACGGGAATACCGCCGGGAATTTTCCTGCCCGAATACGGGACCGTGAATACGGTCGGAAAAATTCATTAACTGATTCCGTTCTCGTTCCTGCCTAAAATACGGTGTCGGTTTCCCGTTTCCTGTTTTTCTACAAAAACGGTATACAATCGGATAATACGGTATATGGTGTCGGTCGATACGGGAATTTCCCGTCCCGTTTTCATCCATACAAGAACCCAAAACAAAAGAAACAAAAAGGCGAGGCTACCAGCGGCACGTCCCCAAATTTGGCCAAAATTGTTTCAGGTGTAGCGTCCAAAATTGTAGGGTCACCCTCTCCTGTTCACACATTTCCCACTTTCGCAGCCGTTAGAAAGCGTCCGATTCGCGTCGCCAGCGCCGCCGTGCCGTGGGTACTCCGGCCCCCCCATCCGCAGCAACCGCCCGCGCAAACGCAATGGGTCAGGTCAAGTCAAAGGCCCTCTCGCTCTCGAGCGGGGCGAACGTCGTGACGGCATCCTGGCCGATAAACAAAGCAAAGGCAAGCAAACCTGCCCAGCGCGCTGCGCAATCGCCGCCCTCCTGCCCTCGCCCAACGGCAACGAATCTGCCTGCCTTCCAGCAGCCTCACCCGCTCATCACTTCATCAATCATCAGTCATCACAGCCCGCCAGGCCGCCAGCATCAGATTCCCTACTAAACCCTCTTGTCGCGGTTTCTATTCTATCAGTCCAGATAATCACTCGCATTATTTTCCCACTACTCGGAGGCCGGAGGCCGGAGCCAATCAGTTCCATTCACCTTTCCTCCCCACCACCAGCGAATGATTTTGATGGAGTTGCAGTTTTCCGGACTGTGGTGGTAACTACTCCTACTCTTTCCCACCACCACCACCAGCTTCTCTGCAATTTTACCCCTCACACAGAGTCCCCAAAGTCCTCTCTCCTCCAACCTCCTGCCAACGGCACGCCTGTGTGTCACCGGAGGCGGTCCCACTTCCCCTGTATTCTTGCTCACGCCGCTTGCGGTTCTCCTCCTCACAGCTCCATCTCCGGATCCTTGAGTTTGGATAGAACTGGAGACACGATAGAGGAGCGCGCAGTTTCCCTTCCCCTCCCAACAGGGTATTCCTGGGTTCTTGCCTGTGAGCTCTGCGGAATTGAGAATTCTGACAGGAACCGGCTTGGAGGAAGGAATGATCGAGAGGATTTTGGTTAAATAGAAACCTTTCGGTGGCTAAGAATTGGGAGCTTTGGAGGAAAATTCGAGTCTTTGGGCTCTAGGTTGGTCGGGACGAGCCGAGGAAGTTGCCAATGGAGCCGCCGACTGGGTTCTGGACCTCGCTGTTGAGCTTCCTCAAGTTCTTGCCCTACTTCTGCGGCCTCCTCATCCTTGGGTTCATCAAAGGTGACTTGTTGTTCTGTCTCTTTTCTCTCTGCTCATTTCAATCCACGCATTTAGTTCGAATTGGTGGTAAAATGGGAGGGCTGTGACCAACAACCCTCGTGCAACCTCTGCCTTGAACAGGGTGCCTCTCTTGATTTCCCGTTTTGCTCGTACAGGGCTGCTTGATTCAGAGTTTCCTCCCTGTTCTTGGAGAAATTAGTTAGGACCATTTAATGATTGGTGGGCTGTCCTAATTTCTGTTAGGCTCTTCTTTGACTTGAACCAAACGTTCACAGTGCGGCAGGATAAGTTTAAATAATTGCCGCGTGTTGATTTTAATGCCTAATTCTGTCTTGGAAATTTCCAGACCGGGTTTCATTAGAACAAGAACCTGTTGGGAGCTAGTCTCTGAAAATGTCCCTTTACCTGTTTTGTGTAAGAATTATCGAATTCCTCATGTTAGGTTTCAGTAACTCAGCCCAATGTCTTTGGTCTCTTGACTGCTTGTTTATGAATGAAAATTCAGTTATTTATTCATGTACTGCGGTTAGAATTGTAAGTATCTGCAATCGAAAAGTTAATGCAATTTTGGAGATGGAATGATGGAACGACATATTACTACAAAAAACAATGATGGAATGACACATGGTATACGATACACAATCCTCATTTCACAATATTTGATTGAATTGTCAGGTGTTTTGTTGTGCCCTTGGGCATGTCTGATTATGGCAATTGGAATATCTGCACTAATCCTGGGCTTATGGCCTATGCATCTGATTTGGACATACTACTGCATTATCAGGTACATGTCCTGCAGTTCCATTTTTGGCAACTTCACATTATATTACTAACGGAAAGTGCTCACATTTTGTTTCCACCATTTTCTTGAGGCAGAACCAAGCTGGTGGGACCTGTAGTAAAGCTTCTGCTTCTTATTGCTGCTACTGCAGTCTTGATCGTATGGTTGACAATTGGCATCCCGGGAAGTGTATTTGCTGGACTAGTATATGGTTTTCTAGCACCCATAATGGCTACATTTGATGCAGTTGGAGAAGGCAAAGAAAAGCCATTTGTTCATTGCTTTGTGGTAAGTTTTCCTTTGTATGAGTTGTTTATGCTTTATCTCTGCGGTCATTTGTTAGCATATCTTTTACACTTTGCTTAGCTTGCTATTCTGAACGTCAGGATGGAACATGGAGTACTATCACTAGAAGCTGTACAGTAGTCAGGGACGTAAAAGATTTGCTTTTCCACTCCTATTTTTCAATTATGGATGACCTTCGTCTTCAGAAACCTCCTGACGGGGAGCCATACGAGATAAGGTCTGCATTCTGTTCGCTGTTTATATCTTTCACCTTTACACCTCAAGACCATAGACTTTTGTTGTTACTTTTTCCTCTGTTCTCCTTTTAGCATTAGGCCTTTAGCTTTAATGTGAAAGAATCACTCTTTATGCTTGACTTGAGATAACATTTGCAAGAAAGCATGCATTCAGACATTCATTTTGAATAATATAGTCCACTGACAGTGCTTTGCATTGAGATGGCACTTTTCTGATTATTTTTCATCTGAAGAACAATGTACAATAAACTGACATACATGACTTTCTTTTTCCCAGATTGCTTGATATTCCCGGTGCACTAATAGTGGCCGCATTTGGGCTTCTACTTGATGGAATAATGTTTACATTAATTGCCTTCTATAAATGCCCTGTGATGCTTTTCAAAGGATGGCAACGACTGATTCAGGATATGATTGGGAGAGAAGGGCCTTTTCTGGAGACGGCTTGTGTGCCATTTGCTGGTCTTGCTATTCTTCTTTGGCCATTTGCTGTAGTAGGAGCTGTTCTGGCATCCATACTCTCCAGTGTCCCTTTAGGTGCTTATGGTGCAGTTGTAGCTTATCAGGTATGGTAAAATCCCCCCTTTTTTCAGTGCACTGATGACAGACATTGCATACTTTCATCACATCATTTGTTGAGCAAGCATTGCCACCTTATGATGAAGTATCAGCTCATTTAACCTGTTGCTGTTGAAGTCATGGAGCTTGATCTTGTTCATGTCTCAGGAATCCTCCTTTATCATGGGACTTGCCTATGTGTTCTCGTCAGTGTCTATATTTGATGAATACACGAACGATGTTCTCGACATGGCACCTGGTTCTTGTTTTCCAAGGTAAATTAATACTGAATGTCTTTGGTTGCTATGGTAAAACAATTCAAAATGCCTGGTGCTGACTTTTGAAATCTATAGATTTAAATATCGGAAGGGCAAAGGTGAGTCTTCACACAGACATAGCGCTCCGTTATCCAGACCAGCCTCATTCGACAGGGAGAAGCAAGAAGGGAAAAGACCTCCATCTCGTGTTACTTCATTTAAGAACAGCATTGATGAGTTCAATCCATTCAAGGTGATTCTTTTCTCCTAAAATAGTCAGGCTGCATTACCATTGCTTATTGGCAATTCAAATTCTGTAGACCTTCACTTTCTGTACAGTACAATCAGTATAGTACATGCTTAGAATAGGGTATTCACTGTGCAAATAAATTTTCAATAAAATGTTTCTGTACTGGTAGTAATAATATGTAAACATATGAAGTCAGGGCATTATATAACTGAATGATACCGTTATGCAGTTGCTGGACCACCTATTTGCCGAATGCAGGAACCAGGGGGAGGCTTTGGTTAACAAAGGGGTGATAACAATGAAAGACATTGAAGAAACGAAGTCTGGAAAAGTTGGCAGCGGTGTTCTTAATGTTGGTCTACCAGCATATGTTATCCTTAATGCACTCCTTCGGTCTGCAAAAGCTGATTCTGTCGGGCTAATCTTAAGTACGTGCACAACAAAATTAGGTCTTCTTCCATTTTAACTGTTGTTATGAGTAGTTGTAGGGTTTTTTTTTCGGGTTGTTATGACTCTAGCTTGACTTGCTTTGGAAAAAAAAAATGCAGGTGGCGGCTCTGAGATTACATCTGATGACAATAGACCTAAAAATACCATCTTTGATTGGTTCTTTGACCCGCTTATGGTTATAAAGGAACAAATCAAAGCTGAGAACCTTACTGAAGAAGAGGAAGAATATCTGAAAATGCGAGTACTGTTGTCTGGTGATCCCAGTCGCCTAAAAGGTTCTCTGCCTCATGTTCCATCCTTGACCGAGCGTAAAAAGGCAGATATAGACGCATTCGCTCGCAGGTATCTCCTCCGTCCTCCCCTTCAGCCTTTATTTTGATGGAGGATGCAAACAGGGACGTTTACTAATCGATATTTTCACTCTGCTGTTGCCGCAAGATTGCAAGGAATCACAAAGTCGATATCTAGATATCCTACAGCAAAGCGCCGCTTCGACGTCCTTGTGAAGGCGCTCTTGTCAGAGCTCGAGAATACGATGGGTGGCAGCCAATCTGGCAATGGATCCCAGTCCCAGGCGCAGAGGCTGCGAAACTCGGTAGCCCGGATGCTCAGCCAGAAATCCATGGGCAAGACGGCCAACATCAGGGATGAAGACCCAGAAGCGCAGATGACAAGATTGTCTCGCACCCCATGATAGTTTGTAGTTTGACGATGCGGTATGGTGTGGCTGGAACGTGTTAGCGTAGAGAAGCTTTCACATGCCATTCCAGTTTTGTACAAATGAGTAGATGCTGCGGCTTGAACTGATTCTAACCATCGTCTTCAACTCATGTATACAGTTCCAAAAAAAAAAAAAACATGTATGGTTTGCGTATTTTAGGTACTACATATCGTATATGCAATGTTTTTGTTGAAAGAGTAAATATATAACTACATATGTATCGTATATGCAATGTTTTTGTTGAAAGAGTAAATATATAGTACTCACATGGAGTCGTTGAATACATCGCCAAAGTAATAAAAAAACACCGAAAATACGCAATCCACAACAGCTAACGCTAGTTGAAGAGGGCGGGGCACCGGCGAAGATGATGTAGAGAAGGGTAGAACTCGTTGTAGCCCTGGGACGTGGGAGGCTGCAAGTCCCATTTGAGACGAATTATTTGTCACACAGGATCTGATCAGTCAGGACTCCGCAGGATTTTAAACGTCTTCCGGTGAACTGAACATTACTACCAGAAATTGAACGGATCCATGACTCATGGATGAGAAACTAAGAATGCATATCGTTCTTATATACATATATATAGCTGGTAAGCTGTATCATGAACATCATCGATTCATCCTCAGGCAGAACACAGTTTAAGCCCGAAAAAAAAGGAACTGCGTATGGTGTATGGCCATAACCGACAAAAATGCCATCAACAACATCACGCAGTTGGGCATGTGCTTTAGACAACTTATGAGAGGTTCGGCTACAACTCTTGTAAAGCCTATCATCAGCTTTGGGGCTCGCCTGAAACATGCACCGTATCAGGTGGTCAGGTGGATAATGGCAAAAGGTTGAAGCAGGGTCAGTGCTTCTCTTCATTATTACCATGTTCAGCCCCAAAGGCCATCCGTGGGCTGGCTATCAGGCACAATGGTGTCATCATCTAACAGCTCCGCCTGCTTCTTTCTTGCCTTCTGATAGCTACGGGAACCACGGAGGATGGAGCCAATATCCAGGCCACCTTTGAGACTCTTCTGAGATCTGAACAAGTGGGAGGAAAGCGACTCAGGTGTCAGTAAGCTTCAGCTGACGAGAAGGAAACAATCATGACTGTTACTAACTCAGTTCCAAAATAAGGGATTCTGAACCTGGACAACAGAGGTAAGAAGTAGACGAAGAATTTTATCAAACAAGTCACTGTATGGTTGTTTCAACCAGCTAAGGTAACTACACTGTATTTGGTGAAACACCGTTATCATCTACCCACAGTGTGTATTAGGTCAGTATGAGAACACCTTTTCCCCTAGACACAGTATGTATTAGGTTTAGGTTACTATAATGCCTACCATGAGACATTTATACTTGCTTGTCCACATTGTCGCAAGCTCTTACAAGAAAATAGTTATTTCTCTAATAACTATTTTCTCAGTTTGCAGGTCAGAGACTTACAGTGATACAGTGCCATCATCATCAGGAACCTCGCTTTCATCATAGCTGAAGATGAAATACCTGCCAAAGGCAAATTGATTAGACACATGTGGACCAGGATATCTGATGACACATCTAAAATAATCCATAAGCAGTTTAGATGAATAATGAATCTGTAAAACATGCTCTGAACAGAGTAGATTTCTACCAACATTCATGTCCTAAGTTAACTAGAACTGATGGAACCTTTTACCAATTAGAGTCCGTCAGCACCAGAGATATTAATGCAACATTCCAGAATGGTAAATCTAGCATTTTCAAGCATGGCATTGATAGAGGAAAAGAAAAAGAAACTTATCAGTGCAGGAACTTCCAATGAACATGTGAATATGACTATCCCTACTAGATGTGGGCTGATCCGCATTCTAAAGGAGGCAGCAATTTTTCACCAATTTTGACTGCAGGAAGGTATCCACCCCCAAGAAGCATAGATAGATAAACAACCAAAGGGAAGTGATGTTACAAAGCCCAAGGAATTAATTAATGCATGACCACGTGCAAATGCGATCCTATTCCAATGTGATATTATCTCATTAAGGTTCCCACCTGAGTCAGCAGATGTAGATGAACTATCAGGTGATCCTTCCATGACAGTCTTGGTGTCCAATTCATCACCAGAACCTTCGCTGATAGAGTCATTGAATATTGCACCAGAGCCTACTTTCCTACTCGCTTTTTTGGAGTTTCCACTGGTCTCTTCATACCTTTTACTTGAGACTTTTCGGACTGCAACTCTGTCGATTAGCACTTTGTGGCTTGCCCTCTATGCTGTTACTTGACGCTTGTGGGCTCATGGAAAAATCCTTCACAAGGTTGCTTACAGGCTTAGGATTTGAAGCCACCTTTCCCTTGATAGTAGACCCATCAGGCTTTCTAATCTTAGCATGGGGCTTTGTCTGAGAAGTGAATTTCCTCACTTCTTTACTTATATGTGCATGATCCTTTTCAGTGAGCAACTTGCTCTGATCATCAACACTCTGGTGGAGATTCTTCTCAGGAGTATGATTCCAAGTGGCATCTTCTGGTTCATGTAGCATTATACTGGCATTCTGAGTAACTTTGCTGTTGCTCTCTTTTCCATTGTCCTGACCCGTCCTTTGTTTTTGTACAATAGAAATAAGTGATTCTTGGGTACCAATATCAATGCCTTGATTATCACAATTAGGATTGTCCCTTTCAGCAGTAGGTATTTCCATATTAGCTTTGCCCTTTCTCTTCTTCTCCCTGCCGTTATTCACATTCTCATTTTCTCTGTTCATGTTTTCTGTTGCAACAAATGGCACAATAGCTTTGCTGGTATCAAAATGACCAATTAAGCTAGCTTTCTCTGAGGGAAGAGATTCTAGAACGTCATTTGGTTCAATGCTACCAGTACGTTGCTTTCGTTTCTTCTTCTTTTTATTCTTCACTTCCCTTGAAGATTCATCTTCATTGTTTTGCTTACTTTCTGCAGCAATTGATGGATCATCATTCAGATTACTGCAGCTAAAATGATCAAGGAAATTGATTCCATCATTAGCAGGATGAAACACGGTGTGGCCCTTTTCAGTCCTGGAGTTCACCAAAACTGCACTGAAACCGTGTTCCAGGGCACACTGACTTTGAACTTCAGAGTTCGAAGATGTTTTCTTTTTCTTTTGCGAATTAGGGTTGGCAGATTTGAGAGCCATGGCATCTTTCTGAACTACATGCAAGGTTGGAGTTCCTGCAGCATTTTCATTATCATGGGTCCCAATCATGTCAGTTACATACTCATCCTGGCTGTCCTTAGCTGCGTGACTATCCAGCCCATGAGTAGAACAATTAGTTTCTCGTATTTTAGGAGTAGTCTCAGAAGACCTGTCTTTCTGTTCTACTTTCCCAACAGTGCTTAAAGGAGTGTCAACTACAGAACCTCCCTGAACCAAATTTTCTTCCGTATCATTAGATTCCTTCAAGTCCAATGTATCAAGTACCTGCTTTACGGAACCCTTCTTTCTTTGACGCTTAGTGGCTTTGCGTTTGTCATCAGCTTGCGCAACCACATTTCCAGTTACTACATCCTCATGATCACTTGTTTTATCAGCAAACCTCAAAGAATCAGGCTCTTTTAATTCTCTATTAGCATCTTCTTCGGGTACACCACTTGATTGATGAGAAGAGTCAATCATGGTTGGTAGCACTTTCGATTTTTTCCCCTTAGACTTCTTTTGTCCAGGTGAGCTAACAGGAGAAGCAGAGTGAACCGCTGCAGGATATTTCAGAGGTAATGCTGCAGTAACGCTACCAACTTTAACAGCATTGGATTCAGGAACTTCTAGTCCATTCTGATTGCTGCCTAGGTGAGTTTGTCCTGGTAAAAGATCTTCATCCAGATCCTTACTTAAGCTGTCTTTAGATCTTAGATCTGCCAATACCTCATCAATAACATTTGTTGCCGCTACATCTAGAGTTTCACTAAGCTTCTTGTGCTCAGTAACTGTTTCTCCTTCTATAATGCCCGGGGTTGTTTGCTTTGCATCTATTGGAGCAGCATCTATGCATTGTATCGAACTTTCATTTGTTACAAATCCAGAAGACTATGTCGGATCTTGACTAGGATTCATACCCTTTGAGGATTCTGAGTGGCATCTTCTTTTTTTCTTTTTCTTTCCATCAACACTTGGATTTTCTATTACATTTGCATCCCCTTGATACACAATGTTTGACATCTGTTGCATAGAAGGTTCATGGACAATCTCCCTTTTAGTAGAAACTGTATCTTGTTTTGCAGCATTTTCACTATGCCCATGATCTTTTTCAACAGTGGCATCCACGGACGGCGTGTCAACAGAACCAACCTTTGATTTCTTGCGCTTCTTCTCTTGAGAAGTATTTTGATCTGTTTGCCTCTTGTCAGAGACATATGTACTTTTGCCATCTTTCTCCATGTTGCTTGTTTCAGGTCCACCTTCATTATGACATCCCTCATTGTGTTGTTTTATTTCTTCATGCTTGTCCCCTCCATCCAAAGGGGCGCAGCTTCCTTTCGTAGTTTTTCCTTCAATAGCTACATTTTCACCTGTAGAATAAACGGCATCTTCAATTGGAGGATCCCTACATCCCTTGAGAGCATGATCAAACTTCTCTTGTTCAGAGATTAGATCACTCGATGTTTGAGCATTGCTCACAAACTGAACACTTTTGCCCCCCTGGTTCCTATCATTAAGTTCTGATGATGAAAGAGGCAAACCAGATGCTTTGACTATAGTTTCATCTTTGCCAATCAATTCAACGTTATATGCTTCGTCACCTGGATGATAAGAAAAATAAAAGGAAATCAGTACCACCTACATTTAACAATGAAAATACTCTCGAAATTTGTCATTAAGAAGATAAATAAGGTAGATTTATAGTTCTATATATGACATTCAAGGCAACTATAGAGCATGCTGAGAGTTTTGGCCAGAGGAAAAAAAAAATGTATACACAAATTTTCCATTAGTTGTTCAGCTCAAGTATCGAAGCCATGCAGTTAACACCAAAGTTGCATGATGAAATATATCAAGCCCATGATAAATATATTTGCAATTGAATCCAAGCATAAAAAAATGCTATATGGTATATACCTCATGCTAGACTACAAACAATTTTCAGCAATGTAATACAATATATGGATATTATTGCTCTGTAGCCCTAGGCTGTTATGAGGCAGAACTTCACCTGTGGATTTTGATAATTCCCCTGGGGCTGCTCCAGACGATGGTTCTGTCGTTATTTGAGCAGAAGCAGATTTTGAAGAGGCCAATTCACTCTTTTTCTTTTTCTTTTTCTTCTTCTTTCCAGCAGCACTTGGGTTTTCTAGCTGGATGGACTCCTGATGTAAAGTGTCATGGACTTGATGATTTGAAGTGTTTAAAGGTTCCCTAAGAGAAGTAGGGTCTGTTTCCAGTAGATGCCTACTTGATGTGCCAGCAGAACTAGTCCTAGATTTTTTGTGCTCCTTTTCATGGGAAAGATTATCCATTGCATGTATATTATCGATCTGCATCCCTAGGCTGTTATGAGGCAGAACTTCACCTGTGGGTTTTAATAAATCTACTGCCATAGCTGATGGTTCTGTTGTCTCTTGAGTAGAAGCAGAATTTGAAGGGGACAATCGACACCTTTTCCTTTTCTTCTTCTTTCCAACAGTGCTTGGATTTTCTAGCTGGATGGACTCCTCATGTAAGGTGTCATGAATTCCAAGACAAACATCACTCACTCTTCTATCGTCAGTTGCTGGAGCATCTTGGCAGCAGTGTGTGGCTGCTGTAGCCTCTGCCATATTGACGTGAAGAAAGCACCCACGTTTGATTTTGGTGAAGGCACTCATCACTGTCACTGAATCACAGATGTGATACAGTACGCCCTTCCTGGCGGACCTGGTGAATAACAAACACTTATATAAGCTAACAATACCCTTTTGAAAGGTTTTGGTACGATTAGCTAGAAATGCTAAATTCCTAGTTATTCCCTCAAATATCAATAAGTGACTTCGACCTCATGCCTTTGATTTACATAATAATTTTACATATATCTTAAGAATCATGTCCATCCAAACATGACCTTCCAAAATTTGCATGCACAGCTAAGCCAGACTATGAAACTCTGGAAACCGCAATAAGATCATAAGTCATTTTAACTTAGTTACAGACTTCCAAAGTTACACTGACTGACTTAGCATGCAGTACATTATGTACAGATGAAACAAAAAGCTTGCACACATGTGGTGCAGTAGATAGTAGATAGTAATCACACTGAATTGTACTAAAAGATGCTCCTATCTCTTGCATTTCAATATTTACATTTACATTAATGAAGGTCAAAATACAACATAGCAGATGGCAGATTACATGCAAGAACCAGCCATGCATTACTTAAAGCTACAGCACTATTGATGTTTATGGAGAAAATCACATTCGCAGCCTCATAGGGCCTCTAGGCATGACAACTAATTCAAGTCCATCAAGAATCCTCAGCAAGTCTGCAGCATGCAACCCCCACGGCCCCACTGACTGAAATCACCTTATCACCCACAGAAGCAATCGACAAAACTTTAGAAACAATTACTTGACACCGAAATATAACTAACTCTACCGCCAAACTGAAATGTGTCTATGCGATCTTCATGGGCAGACTGCAATCACAAAACTTCACTAAAAACGAACACCGATCAGAGCTACGAAACAGGACCTGGAAGGACTTGACGGTGACGGGGCCGAGGTCGGGGAAGGCGGCAGCGTGCTCCGCGGCCACCAGCGCTGCGCATAGACCAACACACGAATCAGTTCCGATGGGCACCTGCCGTACGAAGAGACGGGGAGAAGAAGAGCGAGTGGAGTACACTTTAGGGCACCGATGGCTGTGTCCCGGGGGACGAGCAGGGCGAGATGGGTGCCGAGATCGGTGTTAAGGAAGAGGGAGATGGGGGCGTCTCCGCCTTCGCGGTGTGCCCTTCGCCGCGGCGGGGCGGCGGCCATAGCTGGGCAAGCGGCCGCCACTGGCAGTAAGACGACAGGGGCAGGGGCGAGCATACATGGCCAAACGGGCCGCCCAGACACGGCACGGCACTGGTACGACCAGGCACGGCACGGCGGGGCACGGCGGCGCTGCCGTGCCGTGCCGCGTAGTGCCGCCGTGCTAAAATCCGGCCCAGGCACGGCACTATAGGCTATTAGCCGTGCCGTGTCGTGCCGCTGGACACGGCAACCCGTGCATGCCGTGTCACTCTTGCCCGACGCGGCGAGGCCATCGCGCCGCCGCTTCCTCGCCGAGGCCTTCGCGTCGCACGTTGAGGCCGCTCACGCTCTCCAGCTCGTCAACACAGAGGCCATTGTGCTGCCGCGCCGCCACACTGAGGTTGTCGTGCAGCTCCCCCACGTCGCTGCAGACCTCGCGCCGCCGTCGTCTTCCACTCCGCCGTCGACCTGGGGAGCAGAGGAGCCGCCGCTGGAGCTGCTGCGTCTCGCCGCCGCCCCTGGAGCCGCTGCAGTGAAGGAGACCGTGAGGCTGCTGCAGGACGCGGGGCGCGAGCGGCGGCCTGGAGCGCAGTCGCGTCCCGCGCGCGTGACGGAGTCGGAGGAAGTGGCGGGGCGAGGAACTGACAATGGGAAACGATTAGAAATAGCCAGACGGCCTCGTGCCGTGCCCGGGCCGACACTATAGGGCGGTGAGGCAGCCCGGGCACGGACTCGATGGCAGGCCGGTCCAGGCATAGGCACGAGGCATGCCATGCCGCATCAGGTCAGTGCCGTGCTTTTTCGGATCGGGCCCGTGCTGACCCATCAAGCTGGACCCATCTGGACATATATAGGGGTGAGGGGGGTGGCGCGGGTCGCGAGGATCTTATGGTGCATTTTAGGGCATGCAAAGGTGTTTTTTTATCAGCAAAGGAGTATTTCTTGGGGCACCTTTCAGAATTTTAACTACAATTTGGAAATTCAGTTTTAGTTTAGATCATTTACCGCTTAATGAAAAATGGGCTGAACACCATATCGAGAAAAAAAAAAGTTTAGATCATTTAGATGGACCCCTCGTCAAACCCCCAAACAATTAAAAATGAACAACTGAAATGAGAAATAGATCAAACAAATTTCTTAGGTTTGCTTCCAAACAGCTTTTCAACATGTGGAGTCTCCGTTGCCCTACAATCGGCCTCTTAAAATAAATACCCTCTACTTGTCTTTGAAGTACTAATTTATAGTGCAACATGAGTGTTTTATGTTAGACTAGATTGGCTGGACGAAAAACTCAAAGCTCGTTAGCTCGCTTGGCTCGCTCGGCTCGGCTCGAGCTGAGCCAAGATTTTAGCTCGTTAGCTATAAAAAGCTAACTCGAGCCAGCTCGCAAGCTAAACGAGCCAAGCTTTCAGGAAAAAAGTATCAAAACTTATATTAGTTTTTGTATTACTTCATGTCTTGCACTTTACAATTGATTGGTAACTGGTCTAGATCCTATAAATTGACTGGTAACTGGTCTAGATGCATTTCTTTTATATTATTATTATTCTCAAACTTTAGATAAATGCAAATATTATATTTTGTGTATTTTTTATACCTGGCTCGCGAGCTTAACGAGCCAGCTCGAGCTTTTTAATGAGCCGAGCCAAGCTGACTTTCTGGCTCGTTATGATAACGAGCCGTAACGAGCCAGAATGAGCCGCCGAGCCGAGCCAGCTCGTTATCCAGCCTTAGACTAGAGACATACTTAACTTTTTTTAAGAAAAGGAAAGAGATTCTATTAAATCTAGAGAAAAATTACATCTCTGTTTTCATCTTTAGTCCATGTCCCTGATGATTGTCTAGTCTAATATATTGAAACTTAGTGACCCAAATTACCACCACCAGACCATCACCTCCAATCATCCACAATGACATATCCAAAACTTTGGAAATGCCACATGATCCAATACTACGGGAACTTCCTTTAACTGTTTTGTTATTTAATCATCAAAACCCACTAGCTAAGGCGGGGAGATGAGCTTTTAGTTGGCCATGCTTTTGCCTTAGCATTGCAATGAAGCCAGAGGTATTTTAGCGGTGGCGATGATGGCTTTGGATTACTTTACACGCTCGAGTTGCTGCTGGAGGGTAGATGGGTAAGAAGTTGTTTATATAGTGGAAAAATCTAGGCTACTATTGAGAAATAGGATAGGTTGGGAGATAAAGTATATTGTGTTACATGTCCAGAAGCATGATTAGATTGGAAAAAATAGAGATGTGATGTGAAATGTTCATGTTTACCCATGCCAATAGTCTTGCAGATACACTTTGATGATCTACCAAGTTGAATACAAGTCGGAAAATTACCATATGGTCCATACTTAGATTATTTCTTCTACTACATAAGATGGAATAACATTCTTGCACAAACACAATATAATGTAAATGTATATGGAAGAAACCCCTCATTATATAGGATTAATAAGGCATCAATTCCAGGACTTGCATCGCTAACTATGTGACCAATATTGAGGTCGTCGTTACTCTACCATGGACATGCTATATAGATGGTATGACTAATCTTGATGCACTCATTGTTGCTAATGTGTCTTCCGCTTGGAGTCTTTGTACCGACCCTTGGTGCGAACATCTAGTGCTACGTTGAGGATCATCTTGTTAGCGACGGGGTCAGGCACAAGGGAGAAGAGGAGCCACAATAGTGCGTGTGTCCAGTATGGCGTGCACCTGCGGTTCGTACCCGATGTAGCGAACAGCCGCATGGGCATATGTATCAGGGGATGGCACGAAGAAGGAGGAAGTCTTGATGGATGCCATCTTCGTGGCCACTAACATTGGTACCTGCACATTGTATATGTATGTAACATGCATATCATAGAACATTAGATCAAGACGTGCTCAGTAGTTACTTGTGCATGGTAACAAAGTTCAAAAGACTTGAATCGACCTTGTGTTGTAGAAGTCATGTAACCCTCTAGCTAGTTGGGCAGGCAGTGGCTGCCTGAGCCATTAATGTCATGGTAGGGGCACTGCGTGGCAGTGTGCTTGCGGAGATGGAAAATCGATGACAATGGTGACTGACAACAGAGGTGAGTATGAAGTGATAGGTTGGGCATGCTGTGGTGGTCGGCAAAGGTTGGTCTACTTACGACATTGGATACCAGTGCGATGCCGATTAGCTTTGGAAGTTGGTTGGTACGACAACAACAACTAACCAGAGACGCTCTTGCATGGTAATGTCCAGTTCCTTGTGGCAATGGCACCATTTTGTCCTAGTGGGGCTAAGCGGTGGCAGTGTCAATGAGTATGGAAGATGGTTCAGCGGGTGCGAGCATTTTTGTGGTGCTACAGTATTTTCTTCGGTAGTGCCTGTGGTGGGCTAACGCCTACTGGTTTGGCTTTCATCCATGCACACTGGAGCGACAACGACTAAACATGCATATCTGTGGCTAGTTTGTTGTGATAGTGACAACTAGCATATGGACACCTATTGTTAGGTTGCCCATGAATGAGTGCTTATGGCATTAACCCGGGCTCGTTTGAATGGCCATGTGTTTGTGGCAATGGCGACGCTATTCGCTTGGTGCGACATCAAGGTTTGGCAACACGTTGTGGTTGGTGTCCCATCGGAGGGTGGCGAACCCTATGGTTCGTTGTTGTGGCGTCAGGTCATGCATGTCTGTGGCCTGGTTCACACAACAACTTCCTCCTATTGGCAGCAGTTTGTTACAATCATTTCTTTGATGACTTGTCTCATTGTGCAATGACATGTTTGGTGTGCCAACGACATGGCGGGGGTGTGAGGGTTTTTGAAAGAGATGGTGGTCTTTGGGCAAAGACTCTACTTCTTATTGAGGTTGGCAATGCTGACATATTTGGCTCCATGTACCTTGTCGTTGGAGGCTTTGCCATGAGGTCACTCTCCTCCACTTATGTGTGGGTGGGTGGGTAGGTGGGATTCAGTTGAAAAACTTGTGTGTGATTCTTCATTTGGAGTTAGCGGCACTTGTGGATAACATTTTCCTTCTCGAATACATCACCACCGAACACCCTTCTCCCCTGAGCTTACCCTTGTGGCATGTGGGCCAGTGTGTTGCTATCGAGGTGTTTTGGTGGATACGTCGGTAAATTTTGTCGTGCTGTTGTCTTGATGTTGCTTCTTTCATGTGGGTGTCTTAATTTTTTATTTGTTGTATATTGTTGTTGTAAGTCTCCTTTCCCTGTTAATATACACCCAAGTGATTTCTTATCTGTTGCTTTTTAAAAGAAAAATAATAAACTCAGGACAACCTGGCTAGTCCCATAGTTTCACGCGTGCCTGCGCCATTCTTCCATTGTTTTCATGTGTGACGCATGACGACTGTCTCTCTTTGGTGCAGTTGAAAGGTTTTCGAGGAGTTGTAAGAAATAAAGGGTTTAATCTCCAACAAAACATGCATATCAACAACGGTTGGAAGTTGGAACCATCAGCTGAAACATGCGCTGCATGACATCGTTTAAGACTGTAAGTGATGTTCATACCCGGACCCATCGCACTCCGGCACGAGTCTCACTCAGGACAGCATGAGAAAATCATGTTTTTATTCTTATACTGTTATACAGGAGGCTTCCCTACTACTAAATACAGTTAATTAGGAGAAATGTTTTTCACAATAAAAAAGAATAGTTAATACCTGGCATTGCACGTCAATGCCTTTGCTCCTGTACTCGACATAGAGGCATCTTGAAAATTGGTCGATATAGCTGGTAAATCAAAATAGTCACAAAACATTTGTTCAATGTTAATAATAAGTAGTAAATCACAACTGTTTAAAAACATGAAAAGTTTTTTCGCCTCATATTCGCGCATGAAGCAACACACATATATAAACTATTTGGAGAGCCATCACATAAATATTCTCTCTATAGCTCTTGTGTCTCCAACGAACTCTCTAAGTTTTGTTCTCTATGCTTCAATGATTTATCATAATTTTTCTTATATAAAAAATTTATGAGAAAACTATCTTGTATTGAATTTAGAG